CAAATTACAAGCGATTTCAGGTGAAAAGTTGAAAAATTAGTTTGGACATTAACTTTCAGTTTGCACTGACTGAAGTAGGCCCTACTATGTTCATTTTTTTATGCGGAGTGGTAAATATTGCCCTGGGCAATATTTTTGACTCCGGAGCATATGACGCTCGATCTTTACTTCCTGTGTTACCGAAAAGTGCAATGAGAAATGAATATAACTTGAATACGAAAACATTTTACTACAATCATGCAAATTATGTATAACTGTTTAGAGTGGGATGCCAAACACAAACAATGGCGTGATGACATCACTACTTGAAGGGCGCCCTCTAGCAGCAAGTAAACGAATAGTGTTTTTTTTTAACTAGTTGCTAAATCGTAACAAAATGATTCCTTAAACAACCACTTGACGAAGTTCTAGAATGATGACACCATTTATTTACGGTAGGCGTCCTAATGCTTAATTGACGTCATCAAACCGGACGATAGGCGTAATATATACATACACCGTTGTATTTTGAGAAGTTCTGTTCATTTGATCGTGCATATGTATTCCTTCTTAAGTAAACCAACAATCATTATGCACATTTTCTTGACTGTCGATCATTGCAGGCATGCTTTGCAGAATGTCCGCGCATTAATTGTTATACGGTGTCACGGTCTCACTTTTTCAGCGTGCTAGCTTCTCCGGGTGGATTCGGCTGATAATTGAGCACGTTACAGTGCAAGTTACCTGAGCACGATTCATGCTCATGTGTCCGCTGTGCTTACTTTTCCTCGGGATGTACAATGTATATTCTGAAGTCTACAAAGCCCATTAATAACAACACATTGATGGACACTCAAGAATGTGTTATGTAACACTTCCTGTGGGTCAAGTCATTAGCATTCTGATCCCAGCGTCATGCATGGGTGGGTGTGTGTGTGTGTGGGTGTGTTCTCGTGTAGTAAAGTTTTCGAGTTTGAAATTGAAGTTTCAAAATGCTCTTATTTTAACCAGAATTAATTTCCTGGGCTGAAATTTGGACTAAATATCCCTTTTCTAAAACTCTTCCATTTGCGACAGATCAACCTACGTTGGAAATTCCTAGTTTTTGAGTAAAATCCATATATCTATTTCGTGAAATTCTTGTGGAGACGTATTCATCTATAGAAATGTTCTTCTGGAGACGTATACAATCTTTTGTTCCCTATTGTGTTCATGTCTCCGTAAGGTAGTAAATTCCAGCACAAAGAAATGTCTCCACAGGAATACAAATTCCAGAATGTGTGGTGTTTGTGGGTGTGAGCTTGTCTTACATACGCAGTGTGGACTTCCGAACAAAAGACGTCCACATAATGTAGGTAGCAGCGACGAAGTGTGGACTTGCCCACGTCCACACAGTGTTTCCCCATTTCTGGAAAACAGGTTTAGAGGCATTTTTGGGTTAGGTTTATCTGTAGCATAATGAAGAGAAACACTAAAGGGAATCATTGAAAAAAAATTGGGTTGCAAGAGTTTTCACAGTTTGAGAAAAATGAGTTTTTCCACTGGTGTTCCTTAACTACACGAAAAGAAAGGAAAGTCCACACTAGGTATGTGAAACAAGTCTATGTGTGTGGGTGTGTGTGTGTGTGTAACTTTACTACACGGGAACAAAGAAATGTCTCCACAAGGATAGGCCTACACATTTTGGAAGGGGTGTGTTCATGGAGCTAGGATGCCCTGCACGGGTGTGTTCATGGAGGAATGATTAAGAACGAACTCCTTCGTCTAGTTCCTTCTCGTTCTTGGTCCATTTTGTCTTTATTTTTGCAACCACGGCTTACAATAAATGTGCATTTCAAGTCTTTTTGGTTATTGGGAGTTGTGCGCGCCACGAAAATTCTGGATTCGAACGGTATATGCAAACATCCTAAGATCTTACGTGCACAACCCCGAATAACTCAGCACACATTAATAAAGTTAACGAAAATATACACTACACCGCAATTTTGTACATGCGTGTTGAAGCGAAATAGTTTCCCTTTCGGAGAAGCATGGAGCTGTGTTTGATAGCTCCATGGGAGAAGCTTTAGCACGCCGGAGAAGTGAGACCGTGACAACGGCACTGAAGTGGCACGCGGGTTAATGTGGCGTTTGTGCTTCATGCAGAGGGTCACTAGCAGCGGTTGTTTTGGATATCGACTTATAGAAAGTCCGACTGAAGTCAAGTCTACATCAGGCACGTAGTTTGCCCCAGGAGGAGTTAAGACGAAACACTCAGTAGGGAGTTTATTGGAATTGGGCCGAGTAACTGTAACCACGCAAACATTTCAAACCGTGCTAATAAGTATCAATATGGCTCTAAAAATGCAAGTATTCTGATATACCAAGAGGAATACTGATAGCTATTTCTAAAACCATTAATTAAAAAGTGTGCAGTCATTTGGATAACCCCCCCCCCCAGAATACTCAACTTGCGCTTTCCATATCGACCGATTGCGCCAAACATTACCGTGTGCGCCGCCACTTCGATTTAAACCCATAAAACTAAAATCTATTTGATAAATCGTAATTATTTTTGTAAGAACTTTTTTTAATAAAAATGGTAAAGACTAGTACACACGTATCCAGAAAGTTCAGACTTTTATTAAAACAGTGGTACAAAAAGAAATGATTAGAAGCTTTCCGCACCTTTCCGCAAAGCATTTTAAAGGCCGGGTACAGAGGCGAAACGAGAAAATTTAGTAAAAACGGTCGCGATACTAATTGTGTAGCGGCAACCAGACTGATCATCTACTACCGCCAGGGGCGGCGGAACGCTTTTCGAACTGGAGGGGGGGGGGCACTTATCCAAAAAGGGGCACTTATCCAGAAAAAGGGGCACCTTCCGTCGGTTTAAAAGTGAGAGCCCTTCGGCCTCCACAATGGCGGATCCAGAACACACTTTTTGTTTTGAAGGGGAGGGGGAAAAAATTGGTCCCTTAATGTGGGTCAACAAGTTCACGGCTTGGGGGTCGGGGCCCGCTTAAGGGCCCCGGAAAAAATGGTTTCTAGATGCTCTGTGGTGCGATCTGAGGCAATTTATGACCCCTTTAACCAATTTTATTTTAGGAAATGATGGTGCTGTACGTAGTGGCTATCTTTGTTTGTGACGTCACAAAAAATAGAAATGGGGTTCGGTTTATTTTGGTGGGGGAGGCATGGCCCGGTGCCCCTCACACCTTGATTAGCCTTTTGGCCTTGGCACACCGTACACCCTCCGCCCCGGCAGTAACCTCTCTGGGTCCGCCCATGAATTTGACTAGTTAAGTGGAGAGACCATTTTTTTTTATCGCAAGAGGGGCACTGTTTCTTTTGATGCCAGCTCAGTGACCATTTTATTCGCGTGAGGAGGAGCACCATTATGTTCTAAAGGCCAGTTTTCCATGAGAGGGGCACAATTTTAATTTTTGAGCGTGGCACTACTAAAATTGTGCTTTTGAGGGGTAGTTTTCCATCTCGAGAAGGTGCACAATCTTGTTAATGCGAGGGGCACTTGTGTTTTTGAGGGGCAGTTTTTCATTACAAGAGAGGAAACAATTTGGTTTGTAGCGCGATAATATGCTTTCATGTGTGTGTTAAGGGGCAGTTTTGTTTTCATCTCGAGGGGCACATTTATATCCGCGAGAGGGGAACTTGAAAAATCTGGGGGAGGGGAAGTGCCCCTCAGCCCCCCCCCCCCCCCACCCGGTTCCGCCGCCCTGACTACCGCATGTTATTGTACGCGGATAGCGTTGGTCCATTGCCAGACTTATATGTAGTCTCGCACGCGGCAGCAGTAATAACCCGTGCACACTTTATTCCGTGTTGCTGCGTTGCGTGGAGCGGGATCAGAACTATACTTTGCCCGTGCGTAACGGCGGGCCGTCTGGCATTGTCTGGTCGCATCGCGGTGTTTGCTCGGCGCGTGCCTGGACAGTGCGAAGGTCCGGGGGGGGGGGGTCGTTACTTGTTTGATATCAGTGGTAAAAACCTGATTCAAAAATCAAGTTATTGTTTGTTTAATGGGGATCCTATGATATCAAACATTTTGATAGGTTTGAAAAATTTAGATTTATAAAACATGTTGAAAGTAAATAACGTAAATCTTGCAGAATTGAAACTCCAAATTTGGCCATTTAAATTGTTGTATCTCAAAAATGGAATCATGTGTTGTTTTTTGGTTTGTTTTTTACTTTTATAATTTGTTTGATTTGGTCAGGCTTGGAGGGGGTTGCTTTCTGCTCTGTCCGGGGGTGTCGATTTGTGGTTCAGGCTTTTTAATTACCTATATAGTGTTATGTCATCAATTTTTGAGATTTAAAATCACATTTTTTTTTAAATATACATTCCTGTTATTTATATAAATTGTTTGATTGTAAAGCGCCTTGGAGCACTTTTCAATGGATTCGGCGCTATTTGAAATTCACATTATTATTATTATTTATTATTGTTCTTATTATGTTCATAATGATGATTCAAACGCCATTGATTTTGTTGTGTAATGTGGTTTCTAGTGATACAAAAAATGTATGAGATTTCTTTAAAAAAAATAAAATTCAATGGACTCCCTATACACAGTAAGGGCAACATTAAAATGTTTAGAGGGCGAACGATGCACAACGCGGTGACAGACGCGACACACGACGGTGCGGCATGCGAAGCGACCGGCGACGGAAGGAGCGACTTTCAGGCACGAAAATCTACAAGATGAAAAGGACGGTACGACGCAACGGGCACGACTTGATGATGCAACGGTGCCATCGTGCCGTCGCCTTGAAGAGGCGATGCATTGTGTTGTCAACAGTACACCGTAGGTTATAATCTCCATGATTCTTCAAACGTTCGATTTGTTTTCCGAACGCAGTTTCAAAGAATATGATGTCCTTATAGGAATATAAAATGCTTTATAGCACTGAGTGGTAATATTCCTTAACAAAAACCCTTTGTGTTGCGCTTGTTTCATGTAAACAAAGCGTGATGTCATTAGGTCTTAGGTATTATTATTATAATAGGCCTATACTCACCATGACAGTTGAAGTAATCATGAATGTCCTCCGGGTCGTTGGTAAAGATGGGAGTGTCCGTGTAGAACGGTGGATGAGACCAATGGAGTGGTTGCATGTAGACGGAACCTGGTCTGGTACTGGTACAGGCGCAACGATCTTCCTTACTCCCCGGCATAAACCAGCGAAGACGGCCTGGCTGTCTCGCATCAGGCTCCTGGCTGAAGTAGCAGACCCTTTCAGCTAAAACCTCGCTCATAAGGGTCACTAAAATGAAGAAAATTTCACGCAATAAAAAATACATTGCCGGTATGTTTTCGGTATCGATTGTATCCGCTAAGATAAAAAAAAAAGAAGCAAAACCCACCCCTTCAAAAAAAACTAAACAAACAAACATCCCTACAAAAACCAAGCGAGTGCACACTATTAGCCGTCTTACATGACAGTCTTGCATGAAATCTATAAAAAGGATCCTTGCCAGAGCTTAAAAATGCGACGCCCAAAAATGCGACGCCGATGGCACATTATAGAACACCATACTTCAGACGTTACCTAGATTTATAGCGATTTGTGATAAATACCACGTGACAGTATCATTACTGCACATATTTTGTCGCCATTAACAAACTTTTTCATAAACATCTTTCGAAATTGGTACAAACAATTTTAGTTACCTTTTTAATTTATTTTGTTTGCTTTTTTTAAATTAAAATTTCATTGGTAGTTCTATTTTGTGGGAAACTTGTGGGCTGATTTTGGTCAATTGTCGGGGACAGACAAATGCAAAATAAACAATAATAATAATAATAATTATTTGGGAGGCTAATCATCCTTACTCGCAGCTGGTACGCTGAATTGCGAAGGACGCGGCTACAACGTGGTAGGGCCGCTGACACGTAAAAGCGCCTAGGCCTGCCGGCCACATCGACCCATATATGACCACGGAGCACAGCCTGAGATCGAAAGTGTTTGATTTTTCCGGAGGGAGGAAAACTGGAGGGCCCGGAGAAAAACCCTCGTGGCACAGGAGAGAACCAACGCACAACTCTACTCACATGCGATCCGCAGCCAGGATTTGAACCGTGGTCACCTTGTGAGAGGCGAGCGCTTTACGCACAAGCCACCAATGCCACCCATGCCACCCTAAAATACAAGCGTGCGCATCGATCGAACAAAATCGCTGTTCCGAAAACCGTCAGCAAGAGTGCATTTTATGACCACGACATGGCATTTGGTCAATTAGTCAATTATTTTTGGTCACATGTGCCAGGCAGTTGCGCGAAGGAACGTTTTCCCTTTGGGATGTTGTCAGACTTTCTCTTTTTTTTTTATTTACAAAACCCGAAAACTATGATTTGGCCGAATTAGGGACATGTTGCACACCGCCAAGCGAGTGTTCGGTTTGGAGTCGGTCGACGGTTTAGGTATTTGCATCTTTTTATCAGTAATGGACTAACGTGTGTTTTTTGGTTAAGAATTTATGTTTTATTTTCGATAAGGCTACACAACTTAATAATCACGCGCTGGATGTTCAGTCGATACCGATTCTAATGTATCGTTATTCATCCTTCTCTGTACCGCTGAATGTAAACATGGTAATAAACGAGCGACTGGATGTTTTAACGAGCCACTGCATAGTTATTTGAACATCAACAAAAGAGACACAACCATTAAATGCCTCCACCTGCCGCATTTTGATAAAATGTCATATTCAGTCTCGGTGTCGGGTAAAAGTTTCTAGCAATGCTATAATTTATATCAAGTCAGTGTGCGCAATTTAATATTAATTTACTCTTTTCATCAGGTACAACCAACTTATTAACAATCAATGTACCTGTTTACAATGTAGGCCTACTTTTATTTAGAGGCAATCAAGTTTCGTTAGGATCCACATTTCTTTGTTTTTGCTTACTCTGCTAATTAACAGATGGCCCCATGGTCGAAGCTGGTTAAGAACCATATGCAATGAATATCCTGCAAAACCAATCCATATTTGTTTTGGTCCCAGAACGGGCCAGTCTCAACCTCTGTACCCGACGGTCTCACTGACCGTCACTGCATGGTGATTTATTTAAATTGGTGATTTATTTAAAGTATACTTTCCTCTTCGACGATAGAAACCGAAAAAAAATAACACGTTAAGGCCAAAAAAAAAAAAAGTCTCCGGTTTCTGGTATGCGCGCGCGTCACTGTAGCCATGCGCGTCGGCAAAATGAAAAAGGTTTTTTTTTCAATGAAAGATGATGTCTCAAAACCGCCAAACTCACTGGTTTGACTGGAATCCTGCTTCTGCACATTTTTTAGATGGAGTTATGGTCGAGAATAAGCTTTATGTGGCCTCTGTGGACTCCCAATCCCATATAGGCCTATTTGTACTAAGTTTAGTCGGGCACCATTTGCAGTCATCAGCCGACATTTGAAGCAAAAAAGTCTGGTAAAAAAAAAGAAAAAACGGCGTCGCCGCACCACTTTTTGGGCAAGCTCCATACCAGAAACCGGAGACTTTTTTTGTTTGGCCTAAAAGGGAGTAATTTGTTTACTTGGCATTAACAGTCTGTGATACCTTCATATTTTCAAGAAATTAAGACCGTAAGTGTAGAAAGTTTAAGAAACGAAATGTCAATATAATGTCAGCCATTGTTTTATTTCCATACATTGTTTTTTTAAGTTATTGTAATTTGTTTGAAACTATCCTTCATTTTAGCACCATGCATATGCAGACGGTGCCCATATTTCACAGCACTGCACGGCAAACTATACAAGATGATATATTGGTGTCACGTCTGCCTGACAGTTGCGCGAAACTAAAGTTTTCCCTTTGGAATTGTGTTTGTCAGTCTCTCTTTTTCAAAAGACGAATATTTGGCCGAAAGGACATGATGTAAACCGCCATGCGAGTGATCGGTTCGGAATACCGGGGTTACTGATGAGACTACTCTGGTCACAACGCTGCGCTGTTCAGCTTATACCGATACCCGAGACTTTCTAGCGGCTTCACCATTGATTATAATTGCCGTATAACACGCATGATCACACAAACAATGCCTTTTCATTGAAAACAACTCTAATGATATCATTATTCGTCCTTCTTTGCAGCTGTCCGCTGCACAAGAGACACAACCAATAATTGCCTCTGCCCGCCGCATTTTGATAAATCGTCATTTTCAGTCTCGGTTTCGGGTATCAGTGTTTAGCAATGCTATTCAATAAATTAGATATTAATAAGTCACTTTGCAAAGTTTAATCTCAATTTACCCATTCAAAGGACATATCTGCGATGGCCCCATAGGCCTAGATTTATCTTCTTTTTTTAACCCTAAAGGGGCCGGGGGCGGAATCCGCCCCCCCCCCTCGACTTTTTCCGCGATAGCCTTTAAAACAAATCTTTCGCGACCCGAGCTGTTATGACTTTTTAGCCTCGAGCCTTGCGCATCTTTAGACACCAAAATATTAAAAATCAGACAAGGAATTGTTGCGCAGCGAAAAAAAATTCGGCGCTACGCGACGTGAAAACTGAATTTTCCCATATACGTCGGTTACACAAACCAGAATTACTATTCGTTTACATATGAATAATTAATTAGCCATAATTCCAAAACCATTTGACCTATAGTCATGAAATTTCTTGGGTACGTTTATGAAGAGTTGTTCTATGCATGTACCGAGTTTCAAAAATTTTCGTCAGTCGATGACTGAGATCTTGGGGGGGGGGGGAGGAATCCGCCCCCCTCCCGGCTGAGAGATGGTCAAAATAACCCGGCCCCTTTAGGGTTAAAAGATCATCAAATTGAAAAAATCCCCCAAATATTTACCCTATGTTCCCGATAGCTATAAAATATAACAAATTATGTTAAAGGTTTGACAGACTTTATTTTGTTTTGAAATTAAGTATTGCATGAAGAGCCTTCCCAACGGGATCATTGAATATTTCATGACGTATTTCTTTGTTTTATTCCCATTGATGACGAGTCTATCTTCAAGAAAATGATTAGTTCAATTTAATGAACACTTCTTTTTTAGTCAAATAGCTCATCGGCCTCAAAATAAATGATATAATTAGTGAGTGACCAAATACCGGATAAGCGAGACCCCGAATATGAGGCTTAAGTGACATTGAACAGCCGTCATATTGACAATTATCCTATTGAGTGGTCGGTTTATATGGCTTGGCGAGGACATCGTATATTAACATGGTTCACATGGCGAAGGAACATGGTTCAACAATGATATTAATAAGATGCAAGTTCGAACGTTAACAATGCGAATGTACATGGTTCATATTGCAAAGAAACAAGGTGCAACATTGACATCAAGCATGATTCGTGGTGTACGTTGACAAGATCGAACGTTAACATTAACAGAATAGATCGTTCACAATGACAAGGATCAAGTTCCACATTGCGAAATTAAGCAACGTACAACGTGCATATTGCGAAAGTTAAAGGTTCATATTGCGAAGTTTCAACGTTAATATTGAAAAGTTTAACATTGAAGTGTCGTTACAGGGCTACCGTATCCACCTTACAAGTATTTAGGCTTCTTCAAACAGGTTCATGACGTTTGTCTATCCCAATTATTTTATATTATTTGGTTTAATTTTGTCTGCCTTTTGTGCTTTCAGTTTAATCAATCAAGCTCGCTGTTTCATTTTATTCGTGGGGGAAAAGGTGAGTTAAAGGCCCAGGGTTGGCTGAAATTAAATCAAACTATTTATTTGTAAATCACTGATTTAAATCACTTTTTTGTACAAATCTTATTTTTGGCAAAATAAATTGATTAAGCGTCATTTTAATCATTTAAATTAACTGATTCCACCTAATTAGAAAGAGTAAGATGTGTTATTAACAAATTCAAACATCCCTACTTCATCAGCATCGACTCAACTTACATTTGGGTTTTGCATAATTACCCCAAATCATTTTTTTGATTAAAATTAAGATGTGAGTTTTAAAAGTTTTTCTTCGAAGTTTTAATATGAAGGGCAGCACACTTATCCTTGAATAATTTCTTGATCTGATAACGGTCATATTCTGAATCGACTGTGCTGGTTTATACGCTTACCTGAACCATCTTAAAGTGTATTAAAGTCCCAATTGATAAACTTATTGTTGACATTTCTCCACAAAAATGTAGAATGAGATTTATAAAATACCTTTTAAAGGTCAAAGCCTGATTTATGTCCCCCCCCCCTTTGTATGGAGGACCATCGATCAAACACTATTTGTTACACAAGGATCAGCGCTGCCAGTTATGAAATAAGAAGCATTTTTTATGAAATAAACATGCCCATGCAGAACTGCTCTCATATTTTTTTTGCATACCATGTGCACGTACCATAATTCATGTTTTCATTCATATCTACACACAACGTATCTCAGCTGTATCAATCAAGCCATGCACCTTTAAAGTGTATTCAGTATTAATGTATAAAATTTTCAAAAGCATTTATCGATTGAGTTTTTTGGATGATGGGTATTATAGGAACCTGTAAACTCCTTAGTGGTGGGTGTAAGGGTGCATGGGGAGTTTTAGACACATTTTTAGACGTATCAATATTTTGAAATAAGAAAAAAAAAATCTGATTTAAATTGAAGAAATCTGCATTTCAATCAAATAAATCCAATTTGTTTTAATTTTAATGCCATTCAAGAATCGGCCTAATTTCAAGCAAAAAAAAAAAAAAAAATCATAAGCAGTTTGTGGACTTAATATTCTAAATATTTAACGTACTGAAGTATAAGTATAAAGTCCAAAAAGGTCAGTAACGTAATGAAGTACGGAAAGATTGTAATATCATGATGCCTATGGGATTGGAGTCGTCAAACAAATCACCAATTTTTGACATCATGTTAACGTATGTTCAATGAATGACCATTATTGAGGTTAATGTGTCGTCGAGAAATAATGTCTTGGTGCTGCACTTTGCCAAAAGCAGCTTCAGCGCAGTTACAGTCTTTTCACTGACATTATGAGTAAGATTGGAGGCTTTGCATGCATGTGGAGATACTAATGAATGAAAGGTTTGCGGAAACACCATGTGGGAATAATTTCTCAACTAAGAGAATGGTTCTGAAGAGAACCAGAGATATAAACTCGAAGTTCCGGTCAGGAGAGTGATTATTACTGGCATTATGGTTAATCTAATTGCAATTTAACGGCCCGTAATAAACGAATTGAAATTCAAGGCTTACTATTAAAAAGGTGAATTGAGGGGGTCGTGTCGCTGCCCAAAGAATTGCCCAGATATAGTTATTTATGATTTTTGATGTATTCAAATAATGCTAACTTCGTTCCCAACCCTAATAACTTCTAGCCTTCCTTTCCTATACAAATAATTCGTTTGGTTCCGAAGTGAAGTGCCTTCAGGAAACACAACACGCCAAGCGATTTAGCTGAGGTTAGGATGAACGTCATCATCTGGAATAACGGGATAAAAAGAGAAAAAGATTGAAGTAAAATAAATGCGACTTACCAAAGACGCAAGCAACAAGTGCCGCCAGGGCAAGACGCCGCATCCTGATGACAGGCTCGGTTACTTCCTCCCGATAGAATTTAGTCCGGTTTGATTTTTTACTGGGTTCGAAATCCAACGTGACAAACGTTTCAAAATGTAGAAATTTACCACCAGAACACACGTTTTGCCAGGTTACATGCAACGCACTTATCATAGGCCGTTCGAGTGCGATTCAGCATAACGTCCGCGCCGGGGCTCAGGCAGGCTCATTGATGCACGATCATTGGCTAATTCGATTAATATTAACACTAATGCATATTCATGGCACAGGAGCCTTGCGGTGAGGGAGACCTATGGGAAGACGAGGCTGGTTCCCGCTCCCATACTATGGGGACCGGTAGGTAGTTCCCATTTAAAGCCATTGATTGGATCACCTCTGCACGTGCGCAGCATGAGTATTTATTTTTAAAAATTATGATTACAGCTCATTTGCACATGGACGATAGTTGAACACATACATAAAAAACTGACTCTTACTATAAGGCAAAGTGTCTCCACAAAGGCAACTTTTAAACACACTTCAACTCAGGTTTCAGACGCTGAAAAGTACTGCCCCTCTTTATATCTCTTTATTGATAATTGCCAGAGACACATTTCGAATTCAGCAATAATTGAAGCTCATCAACATTTTGCAATAGGCTGGTTCCGCGCTAGCACGACGTCTGAAACCACGCGCCGTGCTACTGCCGTGAGCATCGTTTATAATTAGGAATGCGCATGCTCGCAACGTGTGTGCGAGTGAAGAAATTATCAACTAATAAACGCATCAACAAATATGGCGACTTACGTGGAAAATTTTCAAGAGTCATAGGGCTGCACTTCTGTAAAAAGGCCTAAACATATCCGCCGAGCTCATGAATAGAAGTTATACCCTCAAAATATTCTATATGAGAGATATCTGAGAGCCATAGAATTTGGGAATAGAAGATATATGGTAATGAACCTCTGGCCCGGACTTGCTTCCAATTCTGAGCATTTTGGATGCAATTGGACTCAAAACTGGCGCTATTTTGAAATGTTAAATCGTTTTTTAAGAATTGCTATTTTTCTTCTTGAGATTTTGTCAAAAAGTCAATGGTCAACCCACCAAAACTTTTAAAGAAAATGAACAGATGACATGTTGATCATCACTTTCTATGCAGCTAAAATACCGTGTGAGAGTTCTGAGTATTTTTTAACAACATTTTGAAGTATGGGGATTTAGCGTTGGTGCATATGAGACTTTTAATACAGGGGTTCATCCATAGGCAGATGAGGAATTAGCGTAACGTTCTCATCGGGCCACGACAACAAATGGACTACAATAAGGGACACCAGTAAAACTTTCCTCAAAGTTAACGCCCGCGGACAAAATAACACACTCGTTGTTTGGGCAATAACCCGAGCCTATGCAGGCCCAGCCGTATTAAGTTGTAAATTTGGCAAGTGATCGGTTTTGATGTGTTACATAAGGAGATTCAATTTCGTGAGAAACCGTCAAACAACAACTGAAAGTTTCTTTCGAGAAAGGGCGCGCTAAATAAAACTAGTGGTCTCGCACCAAGACGGACGTGCGCACGTGCATATACTAAAGCTAGTTTCGTTCAATAGAGGGCGCGCCACATAAATAGTGGTCTCCACAAAGCATCAACACAGACGCTGTACTTTTGTTAAACATAGACGAAAACTCGATAATACATTTTGTATTTCTTGAGTTGTTGCCTCCCAAAAAGAGTTTGGTGGTGGATATCGAGAACACTATTTTTTTGGCGCGCCCTCTATTGAAAGATTATTCAAGTAGTCATTGGTGCTAGACCAGTAGGGGTGCACCCAATCAAATAAATTCCCACAGACAACAGTGATAAAAAGCCCATGCTTCACAATTCTTATAAATAATACTCAAAACTCTCACTGGTGTTCAGGCTGCAAAGAAAAATGATGAGCAACATGTCATCTTTCCTTTTCCTTTCAATTTTTTGTGGATCGACATATGATTTTTTCGAAACATTCAAACCCAAAGAAGACGACCCCAAAACCAGCGATTCTTCCCAGCCCAAAGTGGAAAGCTAGCCATTTTGAAAAAGGATTCATCTACAACATGGCTAAATAGCGCCAATTTCGGGCCCGATTGCATCCCACATGCTCTGAATTCGAAGTCCCAAGTCTGGTCCAGAGGTGTATTGACATATCTCTTCAATCTCTAAATTCCATGGCACTCAGAACTCTCTAATATTATGGAAGAATTTGAGTGTATAACTTTTATTCATGAGCTCGGCGGACGGAATGTTGGCCTATTAACACGGGTGCCTATTTGCAGGTTTCAGACCTGCAAATCGACTCCCAAAGTGATAATAACCCTCTCCTCAACATTTTTGTTTAAATACTTACAACTCTAGATTTCCAAGGCGTTTGCCAATTTCAATTTTAACACATGTAGTATTTCTTGAGTTGTTGACCCTAACGAATTTGTTCTGTATTGCAAAATTAAAAATTCGTAAAGTGCTTTCTCATGATGACTGTGTGTGGAATTTAGTTTTATGGGAAACCGTTGAACAATAACAAATAATATGACCGAAACAAAAACAGTATTTTAAACGCGGGAAATACAAACGAATGAAAGAAAGTCACCGCCCATGGACACATTTTATAACACACTCGTTGTTTGGGCAATAACCCCAGCCAACCAGGCCCAGCGGTATTAAGTTGTAAAGTTCGGTCATTGATTGGTCTTGATGTTTTACATAAGGACATTCAATTTCGTGAGAAACCGTCAAACAACAACTGAAAGTTTCTTTCGAGAAAGGGCGCGCTAAACAAAACTAGTGGTCTCGCACCAAGACAAACGTGCGCACGTGCCTACTTAATTTTCGTTCAATAGAGGGCGCGCCACATAAATAGTGGTCTCCACAAAACATCAACACGGATGCTGCATTATTGAACCCCCCAAAAACAACCGTGACTCGTTTTACACGCGAAAATCCACGGTGACTTGAATTCATTCCGATTGTATTTGTCGCGCTTAAAACACTGTATTGTTACGATCATAATAGCTTCATTGTTTGACGGTTTCTTATGAAATTAAATCGAGTTAATTTTCGTTGATGTTTTGCAAAACATAATGACAAATCAGTAGACGAAAATTCCATTTAATACATCTTGTATTTCCGGAGTTGTTGCCCCCCAACTCGAGTTTGGTGGTGGATATTGAGACCACTATTTATGTGGCGCGCCCTCTATTGAAAGAATATTAAAGTAGGCGTTGGTGCGAGACCACTGGTGCACCCAATCAAATCAATTTCCATAGACAACCGTGATAAATGCCCATACTTCAAAATTCTTTTAACAAAAATACTCAAAACTCTCACAAGTGTTCAGGCTGCACAGAAAAATGTTGAACCACATATGTCATCTTTCATTTTCTTTTAAATTTTTGGTGGGTTGACCGATGACTTTTCGAGAAATTCTAGCCCAAAGAAGACGACTCTTAAACGAGTGATGTTTCCCAAAGTGGAAAGGTAGCCATCTTGAAAACAGATCCATCCCAACATGGATAAATAGTGCCACTTTCGGGCCCTATTGCATCCAACATGCTCTGAATTAAAGCCCCAAGTCCGGGCCAGAGATGCATTGCCATATCCCTTCAATTTCCCAATTCCATGGCTCTCAGAACTCTCTGATAGAATATTTTACGTCCAATATTTTGCCAGGGTATTTGACACAAGAATCTCGAAATTTGACAGGAACCGCGACGGTAGGGCTTATGCAAGTCAAAATCTTAAGAGACAGTCAGTCGGGTCAGGTCAGGTCAGGTCATGTCAGGTCATTTAGGTCAGGCCAGCTACTTCAGGTCAGGTTTGGTCGTTCAGGTTAGGTAAGGTCGGGTCAGGTCAGGTCAATCAGGTCGGGCCAGCCAATCAGGTCAGGTCAGTTCGGGTTGGGTCTCAATCTTAGACAGTCAGTGAGGTCAGTTAGGTCAGGTCAGTTCAGGTTAGTTCAATTCAGATCAGGTCAGGTCAAATCAGGTCAGTCAGGTTGGGTCGGGTAGGGCTTAATATTCTAGTCGAAATCACAATAGACAGTCCGGTCCGGTCCGGTCGGTCGGTGCGTGCCAGTGTGCTAGATAAGTGCTAAGAGTATAGGCTGGCCCTCTGGGACCAGCACAACTTTAGTCTCGACAGATACACGTAAGGCCATGATAGACACTTTAAAAGATCACTGACAGTAATAAATGATATCTAGAAACAACACAACGCTGCAGGTGCACGCTTACACTCTATCTTAAGTGCTTTTATTGAATCAATGTAAATTTAACACAGAAAAGAGACGTGGAAGAAAAAGGCTTGTGTCGTGATATGCCAAACTTTCTCCATCATGTCTTTGACTAAATAGTCAATTAATGTAATTGGCTTTAAGGTAATGGTCACCATTTGCAGAAAAAGTTTATATTTGCCATTTCAAGAAACAATTAACATTAAATTTGAAGCAGGTTATCAATAAAAAACTAAGAAAAGGTCGAAATAATGCGCAGTAGATGTCATACTTTGGAGAAAACTGTAACAATGCATTCTTATTTTTTTCTCACGCAAAGCATGTTTTTGTTGACTGTTTGAAGGTTTGGTCCTAACCATCGTGAGGTAATGATGGTTATTCTTTTTGCCTGGAAAAAGACAGAATATTGGGCGGAAATTATTTCACAGGATGCTTTTTATCCTTTTATTTTCTGAAAATTAAGAAGGATAATTCATGATATTTTGATAGTTTTATGTTTGAATGTTTGCAAATGGTGCCGATTACCTTTAACCACTTAAAACGTTAAAGAAAAGGGAAAAAATGAAAAAAAAGAAGGGAAAACAATTTGCTAAGGAATATTTACAGTTACATTTTTTTAAAATCTATTTCCACCAGTTACTGAGATTCATGCTTAACCATGGATGTGGGAAAGGACAATTAATAAAGAGTTATTATCTACATGTATATATAATAATGCTCATTTCTAATAAGAAAATAGTGTATACCAGATTT